TTTTCAGTTGATACAGGGTCTCACTACACAGTTCGGACTTGTAGCAATTCTCTTGTTTTCAGCCTCCCCAGTGCTGGGATTACAGGCGTGCGCCACCACACCCAGACTCAGTTGCCAGCTCAGCACACTCAAGGGTGGGGTTGGCACAACATGCGGTACCAGGGATTGAAGCCTGGTCCCTGTGCTTGCCTAAACAGGTGCTTAGTCCACTGAGCTATCTCGCTCGCCCTCAAATAATATTAACATAACTGTCAAATTAACAGTACAGTATCAGATTATGGAACTAGCAAGCCAAACAAGATATTAGCACCTCCAGGTCAACTTCAGAACACTACATTTGTTTACATATCTGTATGTCTCTACATGGGCAGAGCTTTGTAGGACAGGATCATATGGCCTACAGTGCTCTAAGCTTTCATTATCAGAAGGTGTTTGCTGGCCCCTGCTATAGATCATTTTAGCAGAATCTTTTCAGATCCTCATTTTCTGAGTACTTTTTCCTAAAATTGACCCACCTGAGCACACTCTGCCACATCTGTCCTTTTCTTGTTCTGCTTTGCTCTTGCAGTTTCCCTCTTCCACTGTACGGAAAACAGCTCTGCCCCTTGCCTATACTGACAAGCTTACTGTGGTGCTTCACCTAATAGCACAAAAATGTTCAGACACAATTTCACGCGTTGGTGTTGACATTAGGAAAATGATGACTCTAATGACTGTAACACAATTGAGCTGGTCTTACATATTTCGCTACCAAAAAAATAGAAGAACAGAATGAACTATATCAGCAAATAGATATTAAAAACATAGAAGTGATAGGCCACTATGATTCCAGCATGAAGCTTAAAATACTGGAAGAATGTAGTAGTATTGCTGGAACAGTTTACATTGAGTTTGGGGGGAAAATGAGCAGTTTGAAGTTCCTAACAGAAACTGATTGTTGTTCGTTTTTCTGTAATTCTGGGGTGAACTCAGAGTTTTGTACGTAAGTGCTGTACCACTAAGCCACGTCCCCTGTCCCAGACTTTTTAAAATAGTAATGATGAATGTAAATAGCTATGGTGTTTTAGTTACTTTGATATGTTTAGATGAATGTAACTTTTTTACATAATGTCCTGGAGATCATATCCTTTGAAACATTAAACTTCTGAAAAATGGGAAGTCATCTTTAAAATATGTGAAGGGCTTTCTAGGGTTTTAGCATTCTTTTAGAAGAGACAGGAGATGATTTGAAGATAGTTCTTTTAGAGAAATAGGGTGTAGAAGACTGAAGAGCCAAAGGACCCAGCTGGGTCAGGAAAGATTGTGTTAGGTGAGAAATCCATGTGGACAGACTGGCGCTTTGTAAAGAAACCCGTTTCTTTGACAGCAAATAATTTCAAATAATATTCTGTAAACAAATTGAACAGCTTACCCAAATGCTAGTTGACTCACCATTCTCATTTTACCTTTTTTTTTTTTGGCTGTACACAAACTTCTTGATGTTTACCTTCTTTTTTGTAGACTTCGTAAAATTAAAATAATGAATCATTTGAAAAGCAGTATCCATTTCAAAATACAGAATTCATTTGAGTTGATTTTTTAAAAACTTTTATTTTTACTCTAATGATTAATTCATCCTCAAACTCTTCCTTCAGAAAATTAATTTTTTTATTTTGAATTGCTACTTTTCTTGGAATTGGTAGTCTTTAATTATTATATTAAAATGATAATATAATATAACCATATAAAAAGTATGCGTGGGGAAAATTTTGTGATGATTTTAGTTGTATTCTTTGGTATCTTAGAACTAATTTGATTTAAAAATATGTATGCACTTATACAATACATATGTTTATTAGTTCTTTTGATCCTTACAACAAAAGATTCTGAAATAGATCTGAGGCATAAGTTTGAGATACCTTCCAGCCTTTCTCACTTGGGAGAATATAGGTACTGCAATTTTTTCATTTTCTAATGACAAACTTAAACATTGGTGGGAAGAAAACACAGTAAATCCTTAAACCCTTTTCCAAGAACAGCTGTAATTGAGCTGAGCTCTGCCTTACTGAAACAGCTGCTGTGTTTACCACTGGGGAAAAGTCATGACCAAATTGTTAGTCATAGCAAGCCATCTTCAGAGGAGTGTCACACCTGTTGCGTGGCTAAGCTATAACTGCTCCAGACAAAGTGAAATCCTTCAACATGATATAAGGGTTGGAAGAACTCACACGTTATAAGTAAAGAAAATTTTGGGAGCTAAAAACATAAGCAGAGTTAGTCTTCATAACTATAAATTACAAAAGTTTTATACTCATCATCTGGTTAACAGTGAAATGTGGGGGCCTGCCCCTTAGCTCAGCTCTTTAAGTGCCTGCTTCAACAAAGCAGTCAGGCTCAGGTTGCTGTGGTTCAATCCCCAGAACTCAAGCCAGCCAAATCTGTCCTGAAGGCATTTGGAGCAAAAAAAAAAACCCAAAAAACAGTGAAATGTAACGTTTTATTAAGATTGGATGCTTTTTCGTTAACTATTTAATTTCTGTAGGATAAAATGGACCAGTTGCTACAGATGTTGCAAAGTACAGATCCCAGTGATAACCAGCCAGATCTACCAGAACTACTTCATCTTGAAGGTCATTATAGTTTTTTTGTTTATTTTGCAAATACGAAGAATAATTATACCTGCTGTACAGGAAAATAATGAGTTTTGAGAATGATTTTCCAAATGTAACATTTTTTACTTTTCTTTGACCCAGCTTTACTTCTTAAACCTTGGATAAAGCCTGTATTCATACACTTTTTAATCCAAATTAAGTATTTTACCCAACTTCGTAGAATCTTGTAAAATGAAAAGTTTTAAATTTGGAAATCAATGTTTTTGGTTAAGTTGTCATCATTATACTTTAAGAAAATAATCAATTTTGCAATGTTGACTATGGTTAGCTAGTGTAACTTGTATTATTCCAAATAAAACCTTTTATTCCTTTAATTATATGAATGTTTCTGTTTCATTTTTTGTTCTTTTCTTGTCTCCAATTCTTTTCATCTTAGCAATGTGTCACCAGATGGGACCTCTCATTGATGAAAAACTGGAAGACATTGATAGGTAAAAATATCATGTATTATATCTATTTATGTACCTTCTTCCCTGAAATTATCTCTGTAAGCTATAGAGTGGATTATATTTGCCTTTGGAAACAAAGCTACTTCAAGTTGGGCATGGTGGTACACACCTGTAATCCTAGCAGTCTGGGAGACTGGGGCAGGAGGATCACACATTTATGTCTGGCTTGAGCAGCTTAGCAAGACTGTCTAAAAATAAAATAGTAATGTCATCAATTATTTTCTAAGAGTTGGAGCTGTAGATTGGTGCAGAGCATTGGGTTCCGTCTATAGTTCTGCCATCACCACCACCAAGGGGTAATGAAAAAGATATTCCACAGGAACCATTCCTTATTTTCTTCTTTTCAACTAAATGTGAAGAATTGGGCTCATCGATTTTTTTTTTTTTTTTAAAGTAAGGACTTTTTTGGCCTTTCTTGTAGTAAGTCTTTTTAAAAATAAAAGATAGCATAATCACCTTTCCTATAGTCACATCACGGACCCACCTGAACCACGGAAAGCCTACCTATTTCAAGGTAAAGTACAGTGTATAAACCTTAAGCAGTCTGGCTGCTTCGGAGCTAAAATATAATATATTTTGTGACAGGTTACATATTTAATAGTCTTCTAGTGTTAATTTTTGGTTATTCACATTTTGCTATATTAGCAGTTAGAACATTGTATCACTTAAGTGAACAGCTGTGTTTCAAATTATTGTTTTGTATTTCAGAAAGCATTCAGAACTCTCAGAACTTAATGTCAAAGTGATGGAAGCACTTTCATTGTATACAAAGTTAATGAACGAAGACCCGATGTATTCCATGTATGCAAAGTTACAGAACCAGCAGTATTACACGCAGCCAGCTGCAGTGGCGGGTGCGCAGGTGTGCTTTTAAAACTCAAGTTTTGAGTGCTCTAATGCTGGTAAAGTTATTGAGAGTAGAGGTATCTTTGTGGAATGTGAAACTGTGAAAGTAATGTTTAGAATGAAAATAAAGCTTGCCCTTTTTTTTTTTGATGAATGAAATGTATGGTGTGCCAAGTATATCATTTTCTGTTTTGCTGTTAAATAGCAATAGGCAATGGAATTGCTCATCAAGTTGGTTTTTTTTTTTTTTTTTTTTTCAAAAGCATACACTTTGGTCCTGTTCTAGATCAACTGAATCAGAATCTTTAAAGTTGAGGGCCACATATCTGTATTTTTTAGAGCTTCATATGTAGTTATCTGGATAAAAGGTTTTTATAATATTTAAGTCAAATTTTTGATTATTGCTGAATTCTTCAAAGAGTGTACTGGATGGATGGATGGATGGATGGATGGATGGATGGATGGATGGATGGATGGATGGATTTGGTACAGGGTCTCCCTGCAAAGCTCTCCCCAGTGCTGGGATTATAGGCATGTGCCACCAGCATGGTTCAGGCTGGCACAGCATGTATAACCTGGCATTGAACCCGGGTTGTTGTGCTTGCCAAGCAGGTGCTTCCACCAACCCCTGAGCTATCTCCCCAGCCCTTGCAGGGTGTTTTTAGAGTGAGCTGCTTAATTTAGATGCTCTTATCCCAAAAAGAAAATATGGGTGGGGGAGAGGGAGCCTCTGAGGCGATTGCTGTGCTTATGATGCATCCTGCAGCGCAGGTTTGGAGTGTGTGTGTGCTCGCCTCCCAGCCTGTCGAGCTGGACACAGTGAATATCTACTGCATTTCCTGTGTCAGTCATATCTTAGTCAACTATATTTTTACAAAACTACAACTTAAAACCATTTCTAGAAATAAACTTCTCTTAACAATCTAATGAACTTCTACTTATTCTTAAAAGGGAAACTTAAATTCAGTGTAAAAGAATGAGTTGAAAATATTAACCAACAAAATACAGTATTTCTGTATATTTTTGAAAGCCACCTAAATATTGAATTTCTCCCCTCCTTTACATTAGAATGCATATAATACAAATATAGAGCCCTTTTCTTTCTTTATCTCAAGCAAATGTTGCATATTCTGGTTATAAAGTATAATTAGCTGGAGAACTCTATTCTGTGTACTTATACTGGACAAAGACTTTGTTCAGAATAATTTTTCCCATGGTCCCTTCACCTGAAATGAGGCTAAGCATCCTGGAGGCAAACAACCCAGCCCGAGAAGCGTGAGGCTACGAAATACTTTCCTCATCTTCTTGGAGTCAGACAAATAACCAAGCTTTGAAACTCAGTTTTCAGTCAGACAATAACCAAACTTTCACTCAGTTTGCAAAGAACAGTGGGCTACAGTTGTAAGGACTGGTACAGGAGTGTTTCAGTGTTACAGCATCATTATACCCTTTAGATTCTGGTGTGTGGTAAGTCTGTTAGCATTTAACAGAAACATAAAATGATTATTGTTCATGTCTCTTGGTGGTTGCTACTTACTGTCTTAACTGGTCTTACCACATAGACAATAGAAGTTCTTTTTAAATGTTGGCAATGAATACTACAGAAAATTAAAACATAAAACTTTGAGTATTTAAAACTTCAATCTTTAGATTTAAAAAAAAATAGGGGTTTTAGATTCAGGAGTAAGCAAGCAAATCCAGCCTTCCCTATTTATTTTTATTTTTCTAACTAATATTTTTTTTGGAATGTACTTGCTGTCATGTTTCTACATTGTAGATGTGTTCTATACCTGTTGATAAGAAATGTTGCTGACCCCTGCTGTAGGAAGTTAGCTTGCTCAGGGGCCAGTATGTTTCACTTTTAGACATGTGAATTACATATGTAGGCTCTGACCATAAAGCAGTTAACTCATGTTTCTTAAATACCCTTTGGGGTTTCTTTAAAATATTGGTGTAGAAAATGTTAAATATATTTAATGAAAAATTGTTGATTAATATAGAGTTTCAAGGTAAAATCCTTTAATACTTCCATGTGGAGATAAACAAGAGTTCATTCATTGATTAAAAACAAAAATCAGTAGTCCATGTCATTTAAAAGTGTTATTTGTAAAATACTTGGGGACAGAATAATTTTTCTTCACAGAGCCGGTTTTGAAAGTACGTTAAGATGAGAGTGGTGGTGCACACCTGTAATCCCAGCACTCAGGAGGTTGAGGCAGGAGGATCATTGCAAGTTCGAGACCAGCCTGGGTTACAAAGTGAGCTCAAGGCCAGCTGAACTGCATAATGAGACCCTGTCTCAAAAAAAAGAAAAAAGAAAAGAAAAAAGAAAGAAAAGGAAGTGTTTGTTAAAGGTTCATAAGGAAATGTGTTTTCTCATTGGCTGCTGTAGGTCTATCCCGGGCCACCTCAGAGTGGCGCTTACCTGGTTGCAGGGAGTGCACAGATGAGCCATTTGCAGAGCTACAGTCTTCCCCCGGAGCAGCTGTCTTCTCTGAGTCAAGGCGCGGTTCCTCCGTCTGCCAGCCCAGCCCTTCCTACTCAGCAGACCCCACCTTCCTACCCCAAGTAATTGGATTATTGGTATTGTTCAGAGTTGGTGCTATTACAGTTTTTCAGTTGCCTGAAGATAGACGGCTTCCTTTGTGGTGTCAAGTGGGTTCTCCAGAAAGCCCTGTGGTGTTGAGACAACCAGTTGATTTGACTTGCTAAGCTGTATTTTGGTGTTGGTTTTGTAGATTTTTTATATTCCTATCGAGTGTTTTTGTTGTTTAAGTCTATGATGTTTGATAATGTCTTTAACAACTCTAGTAAATATATAATTTTCCCCACTAAGTTCTGTTATTGGAATTTATAACCTGAACTTTTTTTAAAGAAAATTTTTTCATATTTTTGACCTATGTCAGAATTTAATTTTATTGTAGAAGGCACAGTATTTGAAAGAAGGCACAAGAATCTGTGCTTCTGCGCTGCCTGCAGGAGATAGCTGCCTGAGATGGCAGGTGCAGTTATTTTTGGTGTGTACTTATAATGTTGTCTGCCATGCAGCTCAGTGGTTATTACTTCTATAAATGTCCTTTCTGAATTAATGGAGATCTAAGCTGAATTTGTCCCCTTGAGACAGTAGGTAGTAGGTTAAGAGCTCACCTAGGTATATTCTACCATTCATGGTATTCTGACTTGCAGCAAAGATGTCAAGGTGGCACAGGCATAATTTCTGGAGCCTTTCCCACCAGCACTCGCTGGGCTCAGTGTTGTGCTCATCCCCAGAGTCTCCTGTTGGGGCCTAGGGATTTTTCAGGCATAATTATCTTGTCCCATCTGGTATCCTGAAGTGACGTTAAGAAGGAAGATAATAGGGAGGCTAAGATTTATGGAGTGTTTTTAACCAATGCCAGGCACTGTGTCTTATGCTTACTCATATTAATTTATTGCTTCTATGAAGGAGATAACCCACTCAGCTAAGATTCAGAACCAGGCTGCAGAGCTGCCACCTAATTAGTATAATTTTGTGGTCCATCCTGATATAAATAGTGGTATGAAAATTGACTTTAGTTATCACTTTATATTTTATAGTGCAACACGTAGGGAAGGATAATTGGTGATGCAAATAATACAGGCCCTGCCCCATACCACACATGCCACGAGTGCTGGCAGTCATCGCACTCTCACTTCATACTCTATTCCTTATCTCAATTACAGTTCCCCCATCCACCCCATGGCATGGGATATAGCCTTACAGTTCATACAATTTTTCTATCTCTTGTCTCTGTTCTGTACTTTCTCCCTATGTGTCAGCCATGTGCATAATTATTTAATTTTCTAAACAGTGCTTTTCCCTTACTATCATTTCATCTTGTAGTGAGAGTCTCATTGTTTTGTGCCTTATCTACAAGATCCTCTGGCTTATAATCTTGCCCTGTGAATCCCTGTATACTTTTGTTATTTAAAGCTCTCAATTTTTTTAATAATTTATTTTTTTATTAGAGCATGTTGATAATATAGTATAGTGAGGTTCATTTGGGAAATTACTACATACATTTTAAATATCTTACTATTTTTAATCCCATTAACCCCCTTCCTTTATGATCCTTCTTATTAAGTTCCTTAACATGCTACTGAGGGTCACTCACCCTTCAGTCCTTGTCTGTAACTCCAGACATGTATCCGACCTCTCCTGCTGTCAGAGTGATATGGTGCTGGTGGTGATGCCTGCTGCATACCAGGCCTTTCGGACTTTGCATCTCTGATAATACTATGGATTGCTCCCTGCCGTTCCTTATTACTATGGTGTATCTATGATGTACATAAATCTCATGATAGATTTAGTACATTGGTCAGCCATCACCATTGGTGGCTATTGGAAACTATATCACTGCCACCTTTTCTAGTGAGTAGTAAAGTTGACCTAGGATGAGAGAAGTCTGAAAAAGTATTAAATCTAACATCAAAATTATATGTAAAAGAATAAGAAATAGGCTTCTAGGTGTGAAGTGGACACTAAAAAAAAAAAAAAAAACAGAATCAACTACCTATCAAAAACAGCTACAAAAATCTTCATTATCCCTGAGTTATAACTAGAAAGCTTGAGTCACATATGCAGGACACTAATGCAAGTAGGTATTTTACCCTTACCTTCACTCCTGAGTTTATCTTATACTTGCTCTGCTAGCGGTTTTCCTCTCCATTTAAACACATTTATTTTTATATATTTATAAATATATTACACATTTATATATACTTAAATTGTTTTCAGAGTCTTTGCAAAGCTGGAAATTGTAATCATTAGTGCGTAAACATTTATCAAGCATTAACTGAGTTCCTATCCGGCATAGAACTGTATCATACAGTGTGACTGTAAAGGGGAGTGAATCTCACTTGTGACTCTTATGATAATTAGAGTGTATGAGGCTGCAGACAAGCCAAAGACAGCTGCCAGGGAGGAGAAGGGGCAGGTGTGCCGTCGGACCCAGGAGCAGTAGGAACGTAAGACGGTGTCTAGGGAAAATGGGAAAATGAGCCAGGTCAGAAGCTAAAGGCCTCAAGGTTGCGCTAGGGCAGAACACATGTGTTGGAATGAACACTTCTTCAGAGGTAACATAAACAGCTTCATTCTGTTAGTAGGATCAGACCCCATAAACCCCATATAATGTCATATGGTACAAAAAGTCTCTTTAAGAAAAAAAATTTTTTTTAAATTTCTTATTTATTCATTTGGTACAGGGTCTTGCTACACAGCTGGGACTTACAGTGATCTTCTTGTCTCAGCCTCCCCAGTGCTGGGATCACAGGTGTGCACCACCGTGCCTGGTTTTGGGGCCGGCACAGTGCATGCACCCTGGTTTACCTGACCAGCATGGTACTCAGTATTGAACATCAAACCTAGGCCCTT